CATTTTCAAGTGAATTGCTGAGAACATTTATAAGTGTTTCTATTGCATTTTCTAGTCTCATTTGACCGAGAACATAAGCTACTTCATGCTTTAATAAAACCATCAATAATACCTTTGCTTAATTACTTTCTTCCTGCATGGGTCAGAAAATTATTAGGACTTATAAATTAAAATTAAATATAACTGTCTCTCGACACCTCCTTCCCTATTTTAAGCTAGTATTTTGTTTATGATGCTTCTTGTTTACTCTTGTCGTGATGTCATTGTTTGGCATTACATATGCGTCTTCATTAATCATTCCAATAATTCAAATCTTCGTTGCCAGTAAGCTTGTAATTTATTCTAACTAGATTTTCTATAAATTAAAACTTTATCATTAATTTCGTAATTGTTTTTTAATAACTTTCTTCCCTTTAAAATTTTTTGTTTATATTTTTCAAAATTTTCATTCCATTTCCTGAGTACGTGTTCTTTACTAGATATTTTGCTTGGTTTATTTAGTAATTGATTGATTTGTAGATTGGGTGTCCTACATTTTGTTTAAACAAATGGGGACGTCCCTAATGCTCGCTGGGAGGATATGTTGACTGCTAGTGTTGCCTTACTAATTATATTGTCTGTGGGATATTTTAAATTCTAATAATTTCTTTATCTTTTGCCAAGTGGCTGATTGATTCTTTGAACACAGCAAATACACATGATGATAAGGATAACAAAATTCCCATGTTATCCACAGTCATTTGCTAATTTAGTTATAAATTGATTGTCGAATTTAGACCATTATCTGACAATGTTCTTTTTGAAATGCCACATTTATCAAAAATAAAGCTTTTCACGGCGTCCGCAACTGTTTTTCATTGTTTGTTGCCTATAATTTTAGTTTCAATACACTTCGTGTAATGATTATTACATTCAATTATAAACTTATATATGCCTTTAGGCCCCACTCTTCAAATCAAATCTACCTTCCGTAAGCCGTTCGGCTTTTCTAATAATATGACACGTTTTGGTTATTTACTCTCTCATAGCCTTCTCCCAAACATATTTGTCATTTTTTTGTAAATTCCTCGATATCTTTAAATATTCCTGTCCATTTATGTTTTTGAAGAGTTAGGAATTTCATTGTGTTTACTGACCCATGTCCACTCGTAAGACAATATTCTTTAAGGATATTTTTTTGTCTTGTTCACCAGTTTTAATTTCATAAGTTAATTTATCTCTCTTTTTGTTGCGTTTATATAACATATTTGACTGTATCCGTCTGCTGCATTATCTTTTCCTTTGATGTATTCTACCGAGAATTGATATTCTTGGAGTTTCATTGCCCAGCGTAAAAATCTGCTGCTTGGGGTTGTGTCCCCCAGAGGCATGTCAAGGCTTTATGTTCTGTTTTAAGTGTAAATTTTTTTCCTAAAATGTAATGCCGATAATTCTCTATACTTTTAACAACGACCAATAGTTCTTTATCTGTGACTGAATAGTTTATCTAAGCTTTATCGAAAGCTTTACTGAATGTTGATATCATATCTTCTTTTCCTTTGCTGTCTTTCTGAAATAATATGGTCTCTATGCATATGCTTGATGTATCTGTGGTAAGAATAAATTCTTTATTAAAATCAGGTTGATGCCAAACAGTTTCTTATGTCATCTCTAGTTTTATCGTTTTGAATGCTTCCTCGGGCTTTGTTATCCACATAATTTTTTTTTAACTGCGCTTAATCTAGCCCTTAAATTGATTATTTAACGGCGTTGAAATTACTGCGTAATTTTTAATAAACTCTCTTTAATAATTAAGGATCCCTAAAAAAGATCTCAGTTCTTTTATATTTTGTGGTAGTGGATATTCTTCAACTGCTTGTATTTTAGCCGGATCTGCCTTAATACATGAGTCTGTATTATATTACCTAAAATTTTAATTTCCTTTTTGTAAAACTGGCACATTTTTGTTTAATATAATACCTGCTGCCTTTACTTTCTTAAATATTACTTCCAAATGTTTTTCATGTTCTTCTAATGTTTTAGAGTAGATAATAATACCGTCCAAATAAGGTAGAACAATTTATCCAATTTATTCCTAAAATTATGTTTATGCACCTTTGTAATGTTCCGGATGCATTGCATAGCCCAAAAGGGATCCGATTAAATTCATATAGCCCATTTTTTCAAGCAAAGGCTGCTTTTGGTTTGTCTTTTTCTGCAAGAGCGATCTGATAATGCTCAAAAGTTGCATCTAAGGTCGGAATTTATGACTCCCACCAGTTTATCTAGAATTTCGTCTACTCGTGGTAACGGATATTTATCTTTAGTTGTTATGTTAATAAGAGCTCTAAAATCGATTCAATTCGTAACAAGCCATCCGGCTTCCTGACAGGCACCATTCTGGAGCGCCATGGACTATTGCTATTCCTTATTATTGGTATCAGAAAAAAGCATTGCTTTTTCATAGAATTCGTTTAAATACTTTAAAAAGAATTAGTATTTGATGCATTTTCTAATACACCAATAGGACGCTTCGTAAGACGTTCAATAGATGATGATTGGTTACTTAAAAGAACCAATTAAATAAAGCTATATACTTTAGCTAGAACTGAATCCTACACTTATAATTTTAGCTTTATACAATTTCTCAATTTCTTTATAAGTTGATTTTTCTTAATTAATGGGTATTCTATTATTTCTTTGATAAATTGGGCTTTTATCCCCTGTGTCAATCTTATGTATACCTTCTGTACACGGCTGCATTTAATTGATTTCTGTACAAATAGATTTTCATATTTTTTTAGACTTATCTGTATTTTACTTGTTTCTGCTTCTATAACATTGCAAATCCTCTTTTCTGAAAATTTGAGGCTACCTATTTATAATCTCTTTATGACCACTTAGATTATCTACTTTAAGAATTGCTAATTTAAATTATTTGCCAGTACTAAGAACGTAAGTTTCCAGTAAAACTTTCCGAAATTTATATTTACGTCATTAACTTATCCCAAAATTTTGATTGGCGTGCCATTTGCTCCTCTTATTCTTCCGTGGTATGGACTAATTTAAAATCTTTTGGTAATACTGAGTGATTTATCAGTTAAACTTCCGTACCTATATCTTTTAAAACTCGCAAAATTTTTTTGCTATTTTAGCCTTTTGAACAAAATTACTTGTTTGACTATTTTTATTTGTAAATTGTAGATGTAATAATTTTTATTAGTATTATCATTGCTTATTTCCTTGTCACCGACTGAACTCCCTTCTAAGGACAATTCATTGGCATTTTTACAAACTTTCCTATTATTATTATTTTTTGTCCATCCCAATTTTTTAAATTCCGAGACTGTAAAGCATTTATCGCTGAAATGAATTGTATTTCCATGTAGCTCACAAAGTTTCTTTTTAGTACCCTCTTTCTGTTTCTTTTTTTTATATTGGACTTTCCTATGGTTATATTCTATGTCTTTGTACGTCTTGTTCAAGCGCTTTCTGGGAATGCCATCCAGGCCGATTCCTCTGCTCTTTTTAGAAAAGAGTCCCATCCGTCGGCAGTTAACGAAAATTAGTACAATAGCCCCTTGATTTCTTCCAGGGGAGTTACTTATTGTTAATCTCAATAACGATGTCTAATTTATACAATTTCTTTCACAAGCGTACTCGATTCTTGTAGTAATTTCATGAATTCGTCATAACTCACTGTCGTTTTTGTTTCGAGGAACTTATTTAAAATCACAACAGTAGATTTTTTTGCAGTAAATCGTTTTTAAACCTTAAATAGGTGTGTCCAGTATAGTTTTCCTATTACTGGACATCAGAAGATTTGTGCCCCATGTCAGAGCTTTTTCTCTTAACGACGATAAAATCAATCTTGTATCGTCTTCATTAACAAAGCCACCAATCTTCGCCATCATTGATTTTTCTTTTAACCAGGCATTTACATCTCCTTCTTCATTTTCCTAGTAATTTCTAATCGCTGGAGTCATTGTCGCTATATCAAAAATACTTTTTTGATTTGCTTCCTTCCTGCATGGGTCAGAAAACTATTAAATTAAAATATTATTGTTACTCGACATTGATAATATGGAATAAAAAAGTTGTATGAGGAAATTTTTTCTTTCCAAAAAAATGATTACCGAAGTTAATTTTGATTAAAACTTATTTTAAAAAGGTTATTTAATATTTTTATCCATAAACTGTACCTGAAAGGTAAAACAATTATTTTAACATAGTGGAATTTAAAAGATACGTAAATGGATAAGAATGCACATAAATTTTAACGTTAAAGTATAGGTATTTATAAAATTATAAGAAAAAGAGGAATAGATAAAAGGCTAAAAATTTAATTCTTTTTTATAATCTTTTACGTTTTTACTATTTTTTATTTCCGATAACTGCAAACGTACAATCTCAAAGAAAAAAGTAGAAATATACCTAATTCTTTTGAAATAATCTGCATAAAGAAGTTGAGTATCATTATTTTCAAGCCACCTCAAAAAATCGTCAATATCATCTTCTCTTATATCTCTTTTATAAATTCTTATAAATGTATTTAACTTAAATAACGAGGATCTTGATAACTTTTTGTATAAATAACGAAATAAAATATAACAATATTTCTCATCATTATCAATATTATAAGGTTTAGAAAAACAATACAATTTTTCTATAAATGTCTTATTAAACCAATAAAGATCTATTATATATTTATCACGCCAAGAACCTACTTTTTTCTGAAAATTAATACTTGCCTTTAATAGTTGTTCACTCTCCATTAATAATTTTTCATACTCAAAATTTTGTAGAATACAAAAAGCATGATATATCTTTTTAAAATTAGGTACTATTAGTGTTGTAGCGTTTTCAGTGAAAAAGCCTATTTTAAATTTTACATAGCCTCTTGTATCAGTTTTGTTCTTAGCTGCTCCTTTCACTCTATTAACAAATTCTGTATAATAATAAAAAGAAAAAAAATTGAGTTTTTCATAGGGAAAATTTTCCAATCTACCAGAAACAAAATACAAACTTAAATCGTAAAAAGCTTTAAAACGCGTGTATTGCATTTTCAAATCATTTTCTTTCATCAATTGTATATCGAACTTATTATCAAGAAGCATATCGCTAATACTACACTCTGCATGGTTGTCTGGACTTTGGAGTTTAATTTTACTAAATAAGTTTCGAATGTAAGATTTTTCGTCTTCTTTAGTTGTACAGGAGGATAGATTAAAAAATCTAAAAAATAAAAGAGAAGTGAAAATAGACAACTTCATTGTGGGGTTAAACAAAGTTTAAAATTTATAGTTTTGTAATTTAATTTATCAGAAAATATTAAACTCTGTTAAAACTAATTATTTATTTTACGTCAAATCTATCGAAAAATAAAAGCATAAAATCCAACTTAACTTTCCTAACATCTGAAAGACCAAATTTTTATAAATCTCAGATTTAAAGTAAACACAAACTTTTTGATTAGTATTTATTTAGTAAAAAAGTTTTTTAACAATTTAATGACATTTTTTAAAAATAATAAAAAGAAGTTTACTCCTTTTCATAGAACACAGCTCAAATTGTTCTGTCATTTTCTTGATTCAAAATATAATTTATATTTATTTTACTAAAAAATAATTTATGTTTTTGCATAAAATTGTATGCATTAAATTAAAAAGTCAAATATTTATAAATTAATAAAATTGCCAAATTTAGTAACATCACAAGAATTTGAAATTTATTATCTACCAAATAAAGTAAATGTGATATTTTTAATAATTTTTATCCCTCGTTATGTTAAAGAAATACAAGGAGATGATATCAAGTCGTGTGTCAGCAAGTATAAATTATGGTCAAGAGACCTAAAACATGTTATAAAAAGTTAAATATTAAAAGTACAAGTTGGATTAGGGGGACTAGAGAGCTGTGATTGGAATGTTAGAATTTATGAAAGAGAATCCGAAGGATTAAAAAAATTTTATGGTATAGTATATTAGTTGAGAAGAGAAATTAAAGCAAATTTTAAAGAAAGATTGAAAGAAAGTAGAAGTTTAAATAGCAAAGCTACTGGAAGAAGAGAGTAACAGAAAAATGATTGAGCGTGTTGCATTTACAGTGAGAAAATTTTTGTTGAGTCAAGGAATTGGTATAGAGAGAGAAACAGCTAGATATTTAAGCAGACATGTGTACAGAGGAAATTGTGATTGCTTTTACTGTGGAGGATTAGATCACATTGTCAGAGATTGTTATGCAAAGAAAAATAAAGAAGGTGAGAATAATTGTCACAATTGTATACTGTATTTATAACAAAAATAGTTTTAAAGGTAATAATTAAAAATATTAGCTGTGTCGGGTTTAATTGAAGGCGTCTAGTAAAGAATAAAGATAATTTGGAACTAGAAGAGGCAGAAAGTTAAAGTTTGAAGATTTAAAGAGTAGATATTGTAATGTATTCTAGTTACAAGATAAAGTCTCCGATTATTATAAAACAAATAAATACAAGATACAGACTGTAATGGGGAAACAAACACTAAAAAGTGACAAAACTATGCCGCAGCCTCTGATGGAAGAAACCGAGAGCTATAGCAAAGAACTGAAAAATAAAAGATTATAAAGAGGAAAAATTCTATTAGAGCCATTGAGAAATTAAACAAGAGGTAAAAGTGGTTAGTAATTTAATGGCACTAAATTATCAAGTAGAAAAAATCCCATAAGAATTATTAGATATAAGTGATATATTAAAACTATCAAAGGATCTAAGTGATTTACAGTTATTGATTTGAAGGAGAAGTTCTCATATTACAATTGAAGAGAGCAACCTACACAAGACGGTTTCCAAGTTTTATAAAAAAGTTTGCAATGTAATGGTATAGTTAAAAGATACAAAAACTCACCGCAGGTATTACAGCGAATAATCAAAGGAATATTTGAAGATAATTAAAAGAAGGGTAGAAGTAAAGTAGCAGAATTAAAAAATAAATTTTTTTTTAAATTTGTCTATTTGTTTTTATTCATTAATAATTAAGATTTGATGCATAATCATTTTAAACACATTTTCACATGTAGTAACGTTTTGTTTTCAATGTATAATCAAATAGCTAGATAATTTTAATAAAAATTGATTTTAGTTAGAAATAAAAAAATAGAATTTTTTTATTAATAACTCGTATAAAAAACTTTTCGTCCTAATTACCGCTTCATGTCTTTCTTTAAATCTAAAACCCATTAATGGCACAGTCTTCAAGGTATTTTCTTTATTCTTTTACTTTGGCTACTTGATAATTCTTAAATATTTTACACCAATTAGTACTAACATTTTTCCTCAGAACATATCATGGAATTTCAGGTGAATTAATATCAGATAATTGTAATGGTTATTAAATAAATTTTATACTTATTAAATCTAAAAAAACCTTTGCAAGCTTTTATGTATGCTTTGAATCATTATCTTGTTAAAATAAAAAATTTAAAATTTAAATCTTCAGCAAATTTGAATAAATTATCATTAAGACTTGTAGTATATTTTAAATTATCTATTTTATCTTCAATCAAGTATAGATATTTTCAACTTTTTTCTTTAAAAAACGGAGCAAAATATTTAGATGCACTAAAAAAAGATGCTATGAAAAAAATTATTTATTACTCTTAAAAATGAAATTTCAAATTTAGTGACAAGAAGAACATATTAAAATTTTTATTTAAACTTGGTTTAAAATAATATTAAGACAGCTAATCAAAGGATGCTCATCATGATTTTTAATTAACAGTTATCTTACTAAATAAAGATTAATTAATTACATGTTTTACATCCATATGATACATGTTTTTAAAGCGCAGATCAAGTACCATCAACAATATTTGTATGCACGCCTGTACCAGGATTCTTAAAAAATTTGCTATGATTTACAGTTTTATGTTTATATTCGTTTTTATGTAAATCATTGTAATCTTTCCAGCAGTCGCTGTAAATACTTGCATTGGGTACAACAGAATTAACAATTTTCAAGTGTAAAGTTGATTTTGTTCTATCATCATCTTGAAATAATAAAACTTTTTTTTGCTTTTCTTCTCAACCTACCTAAAAATCCATACACCATCCACAGGCTGCCTTCTATTATACTTGTTTTTTCCAAACCTACATTCAATATTTCAATTATTTCATTCTCTTGACCAATATAATTAATATTTTAAAAAATTTCCGGTTAAGATTGAAGAAACATTTCTTAATGTTGGATAACTACAACCTTTACTAATTCTTAAGATTTAAGCAATTGAAGGAGAATTGGTTTTTACTAACCACAATTCTAATATTCTTAAAGGCTTGTAGTTAGAAATTTTTAAATCCTCAGAATGGTTTTTTTTCCAGATAAATGTTTGTTTGTTGTACAGAGGGCAAATTCTATTCTTGCATATAAAAAACTCACAATTATTTCTCAAAAGAATCTTTCCTCTTCTTTACAAGTCCTACATACACTACTGTGGTAATATTTTCCAAATGAGTTATTTTCTTTTCTTTTAAAAAAGTTTAGTATAAAAAATGTTTTTTATCTAATCCCAATGAAATATAAAAATAATAATAAGAAACACATCCTCGGGGCTTCTCACAGGAGAAACATTTTAGACACACCAGGTCAATTTAAAAAACATAATTTAGATAAAAATTTTACCACAGGCAAAGTGACATGCATCATTGAGAGCTTCCTAGGCTCTGATAATCTACCTACCAATATTGCCAGAATACTTATAAACAAATAACAAATTAAGTTTATTTCAAATGATTACAAATTTTATATTAAATGGTGGAAAAAAAAGAAATATTAAAATAATGTAGTAATTATAGAGTTTATAGTTACAACATTTGATTCTTTTACTTTATAAAAAATTATAAAATACGTTGAAATAAATGTACATTGTTTTTTGAAACTTTTTTTGGTATTAACAAAAAATTTTTTATTTTGGGTGGCAAAAAAAGAAATATTTTTTTTTTGCAAGAAAATTTTATTTAAAACTATAAAAAACTTTATTTTTGTCCCTTATGACATTAAAATTATCTTTGAATGAAAAGTTAGAGATTAGGGCTTTCTTAGAAATTGCAAAAAAAGATCTTGATAAGCCAATAGACAGTTTCAAAAATTGAGAAAAAAATTAATCAAACAGGACAACTGGAAAGAAAATTGAGTTTTGGTAGGCATTTATTATTTAATAGTAATGATATATCTTATTTAAAAAAAAAATAAATGCGAATCCACAGATTGGAAGTATTAAGCTTGCTGTAGAACTCAAGAAAATAGCTAAAAAAAATTTATCTCCTCAATGTATCCGAGATAGTTTATGTTGACTAGGATTACATGGTAAGATTGCATGTAAAAAACCATTTCTGTCTAAAAAGCATATCATGGTAAGAAAACAGTGGGCAAGTAAACATGCTTGCTACTCCGATAAGAGATGGAATCAGGTTATTTTTAGTGATGAAACAAAAATAAATCTGTTTAGCTTTGATGGAAGAGTTTATGTGTGAAGAAAAGTTTGTCAAAGATATAATAAAAAAAATTTAAAACCCACAGTAAAACATGGTGGTGGTAGTACATGGTTTGGGCATGTTTATCGAGTGCAGGTGTTGGAAATATATGTATAATTGACGGTATAATGAACAGCGAAGTATACTGTAGAATTTTAGATACACATATTGCGCCTTCTGTAAAAAAAATAAATTAAAAAATTATATTTCATAGCAAGATAATAATCCGAAGAATAGAATTAAATGCACTAGGGATTATTTGTCAGATAAAAAAAATTTTGACACTAGATTGGCCTGCACAATTACCAGGTATTAATCCTATAGAAAATCTGTGACACATTCTTAAGGTAGAAGTAGGGAAAAGGAAACCAAAAAATATTAATGAATTAAAGAAATGTGTTGAAGAAAAGTGGAATAATATAGATGTAGATGTGTGTAAAAAGTTGGTAAAGAAGAGCATGAACAGTAGATGCAATGAATTATTAAGAGTGAAAGGTGAACATACTAAATTTTAAATAAAAATATTCCTTTTTTTGCCATATAATTTTTTCATTAAACTAATTAAATCATTGTGTTGGCGTAATAAATAAAATTAACTACTTAAACAGTTATAAATGTTTGTAGCTTCTTTTAAAATGGCAACAATCTTTTTTGATATAAAATTTTTAATTGCAAAATTAAATATTTTTTTTTGCCACTTCTGTATGAAAGCTTTTATAAAACATGTTCTATATATCTTTCATTCTTAGAAAGCCGCATCATCCCACATAGGCACGGCAGATTGATATCATAAAGCCTTTTTGCTTTAATATATTATGATATTGACCTAGGTCTTGTATAATTTTTTTTTGTGTAAACATTCCCTAATATTTGAGTAAAATGCGTCATCAAGTACAAGAAAACAATCGGCCTCATTAAGGAACCTGTAAATTGGTGCTTATTTAAATCTCTCTCAACCGACAGCTTAAAAATAACATCCAATAGTGCATTGTGTAATTGATAACTATAACATGTTTCCTTGTATTAATTAATGACGTTAGAAACTATGTTACAAATATGAAACTGATGATTTAACATGAATCTTGAAAAAAAATTGGTTCGTGTCTATTAGGTTAGGTTTATCTAAAAAATGGAGTTAAATAAACGGTTAAATATAAAGTCTTTTAATTTTGGTAGTTTGGTCGAGTACTACCTAAAAAATAATTCACTGCCAGCTATTTCAGGCACATTGTATCGCTTTTATCGCTTACAACCAATACCATGTAAAGCTAAAAAAATATTTCTTATCATATTTGATGATTTTTTTTTTAATAAATTACAAAATTAGAGTCTTTTCAACCCATCTTTATTCAAACTCTCTCTACTGTAACTTTATTTTTAAAAACTTTTATTTAAATATATATAGCAAGTACCACAGGTGGATTTATCTTATAACATTACAAATGTAAATCTTTTATTTATTTATATTTTGCTATATTTAATTTTAAAATAAAAGTTCATAAGGGTTAAAAACATAAAATAATAAAACTTGTAATAAAAAAACACTTTCTTCGCTGTAAATCAGGCGCGAACCTTTCGTGACAAAATTATATTTTATATTAAGATATTATTAATTTCTCAGTTTATCTTTTTTATTCTATTTCGTTTATAACATTTAAAAGTAAAAGATAAAAATTTTTTTTGGGTACATCAAAAACTATACAAAACAGTTTATCATCCCTTGCAAATAGACGTTTAATCCTTAAAACTTTAACAGTTTTTTTATGTTCTAAAAATTTTGATGGTGCAAATAATTTTTTTGAATAGATAACAAATAAATTATTAGAAATTGCAATGCATTTTTTACTACAATTTTGTTTATGTTTTTAAATAAGTTCTGCCTTACTTTGGTATCGTACCACATATTTATTTTATTTAAACTTTGATAAAAAAGGAATTTATTTTTTCTATAAATAAAAACTTGAATGGAAGAGCGTGGTATTTTATAAAAAAACACAGAATTCTTAAAGAGAGATTCAAAAAAAACATAAATAAAGATTTATTTAAAAAGCCTATTGTTTGCTCATTACTAGAGCAACAGTTTCGTTACGGCAACCTCGCCCGAGGATGTGCCATTTATAGAGATGTATTTGTTCTTTATTAACTTTGTTTTACTTTTTAACAGTAAATTTAATATAAATTTTATTATTTTGTTGTAAGATAGTACAGATGTAAGTTTTGTTATAAAAAAGTTTAGTTAAAAATAATTAATTAAATATATTAAATAAGTTCTTTCCGTTCATATTCTTTATCAATACCATTCATAATGTCTTTTAGAGGGGAAATTAACCAATCAACATCTGAAGATAGACGTGTTACAGAATTAAAAAGTATAGAAATACTACGACTTATCGAAATTAAAGAACCTTGGGTGCCCTCTAATCTTTCGATTAGCATTTTTATTATTACAACAATACATTCTGGTTTGAAAGTTTGCGAAATATTTCTGAGTCTTTGAAAGATATCTTTACATTCATTATAAATATACTTTATATCTTTCTTTCCAAGGTTAACAGTCAAATTAAAAGACAATAAATACTTTGCCATTTCTTTTATAAATATATTGCATTCTACTATTAATTTTTTTGTAGACTCAGATGAAGATTCTTTAAAAAAAGAACTTTCTTCTATATTTTTTATTTGACATTCAATACCTTTTTTAAAAGTTCTTTTTCTATCATAAAAACAGTTTTTAAGCTTTGATAACTTACTTTTAAATTTTTTGTTCTTTTTTCTAAACAAGAAAATTTCTTCTGAAGTTGAAACTTGCTCATTTTTGGTTTCGTAAAATGCAGATTTTAATAGGATTAAACCCTCTTTACAAAAATCCATAAATAAATCTAAATTTGTCGATTGTTGATTAATAGATTGTACTTTTCCATTTTGTAATACAGAATTCCAATTTAAGTTTTTTCTATCAATCAAATATTCATGAAATCTTTTAGCATAGACATTATAAATACTATTCAGTAACTCTTCTTTATCACTATATCTTATAATCTCTATACATTCTATATTATCATTTTGATTTTTATTACGATCATTAATTGCCTTATCAAAGTTTAATACTTCATCATATTGCTTTGGGGAGGTTAAAAGGCTAGATGTGATACTATCACTTATAATTGGACTATTTTGAAAAATTTTTCGATGTTTTTCATTTTTATTAGTTATACATTTACTATTATCGCCTAATTTAAGTTTTTTTCGAACCGGATTTTCAAAAGTTTCATTATGCTTTTTTTTAAAACACTGAACATTCCTTGTATCAAAAATGGGACTATTAGGAACAGAAATTGATGTAACTTTAGATTGTATTACTTCTTCTAAGTTTAAAGCATTTCCACTAATCTTTTTTAGCTCAAAATTTTCTTGTTCCAGAAATTGCTTGGTGTTGTTGTTTCCATTTAAATTTTGATTACATTGATATATTCCTTTTGCGTCATAAAAACTGTTTATACTACATACAACAGATTCTGCAGTACTAATCGATTCATTATTTGTCGAAGTATATATGCCTGCAAAAAGGTAAAAGAACTTTAACATTTTATGGGATATATTTTAAAATTTATATACTTTTTTAATATTTTCTAAAAAGTTTCATTATTTAATTGATAAAAATTTCTTAACCAACTTTTTAAAAATATAGTTAAATAAATGTTATTGCTTTCTAAAAACGATATTTGGGTCATGGTGTAATCTAACATTTAATTTATCAGTAATATGTTTATTTCTTACTTGATTTTACATCTTTTAGTAAACTTTTGTGGTTTTTACATACAAAATATTTAATTTATTTTTCATGAAAATTTAATTAAAAATAAAAACTTAAGGTGGAATGAATTTTATAGGAAAATAAACAAAATTATAAAAATTATTAATTTTAACTAATAATAACTAAACAAGAATTTATAAAAAATTCTAACAAAATAGATCCTGAAAATAGCTATGTCACTTTTAAATATTTCATAAGCAAAGTATTAAAGTAACAATCTAGAAATTAAAATGTTTTTTTTATTGTTTTCTTCACCTTTTCTTATTTCATCTATTTTAATTTGTTTGTTATATATTTTGAGTTCTAAATTAAAAAAAGCAAAGCATCTACGATATAATTACTACTCATTTTAAAACCCACATCGTAAATAAAAATAATTTCCCTAAACACTTTTTTTAAATATTACAGCATTACGATGAGACATTAAGTTGCTCTATCCATATTTAATAATGTACTACAAAATTTATTAAAGAAAAATCGAAAGAAAAAGTATATTTGCGCAAAACTGAGGATTATAAAAGAGAAAAATTTATGCTTTTGGAAAGTTCAAAATTTTATCTTGACGAACAAATGAATTTATACTAAAATACAATTCTAGCGATCTTTTCAAAAATTATATTGATATTTTAACAGTTAACGCTTTTGTTAATTTATATCAAACCGGGTTTTTTACCTGTTTAAAGAAGCAAAACGCCTTTTGCAGGAATGTGTTTCTAAAGAATACGTTGCTGAAAAAACTTTTAAATGATAAAATCAAACTCTAAATATTTGGTGGAAGTAAAATCAAAGATAAAATTAATATTTTAGATTCATTAGTTTCTAATTGTAAATAAATATATGTTTTATGTACATTTGCATGTTCGTTTTTGAAAAACCATTGCGATGTTGAGGTTGGCAAATCTAAAGTCGAGGAAGATGCAACTGAAATGATTTTAAGAAGATAAAAAAAGCAACGAACACACCGTTAACATTTATATACCACAAAATTTTAAATTTTTCAGAACGGAAAGTAATTTTTCAGCCCCGAATCCAAAAGACGAAGATGTTGTTGATATAGGTTTAAAACTTGTAGAACAGCTCGAAAAAGCCATTAGCAAATATAAATGTATATTTCGGAATGGGCTACCTGAGCTTTTTTAAAATTCTTATTCTAGTGCAGAAGTGAGGCACTAGTAAAAATATTAACAAAGAAATGTAAAACTACCGTGGGCGCGGAGAAGTGTCTGTTTGTATTTTCAGATTTAAAAATGTAAATGATTTCTTTCATGTATCTACATCTACAGGAAGCGGAAAATGTTTTTAAATAATTAGAAAACAAAAAATAATCTGGTATTGATAAATTTGTAATATAATGATTGTATTTGGGGAAAGATCGGGTTAACTGTCCCGTCTTAAAATATATTTCTAAGTAACTTTTTATTACCGGTCCTTTGTTGGTTACCATGTTTTTCTTATCGTTAGGTAGGTATTTTTTTATGTTAAATTTTTATGTTTCCTTTTTTCTAAAATTTTTATTTATAGAAAATAAAATTCTAGAAAATTTATAAAGATAAAAATTTTTAAATTTTGGTAAAAACCACAGTATTAAATTTTTTTAGAAAAGTTTATAATTGTACTTGTTAGAATTGAAACAAAAAAATATTTAAATTTTTTTATAAATTGTAAAAAAGCTTATAACACCAATAAAAAATCGACAAATTGTAATGGAATCCTCTCGCCCTCTAGGATAATACCAGTATACTTTACTAAATGGTCTTTAACATGTACTACAAGTACTCTTCTATTTTCAAGATATAATTTTGAAATGCTTGTGTTACTACTTTTAATAGATTTATTTTATTCAATATTTATACTTCTTCAAATTTTTTTTTTCAAAATTACTTTTATAACAAATTTTAATTGACTAATAACAAGTTTAAAAAATATATTTTATAAAATAATCATGATTACAAATATCATAACACTTTTGATGGGTATTTCTACTATTACCTACAGTTCTATAAATAATTAGTTTTACGTTTTAATAACTAGTTTCCCTTCAAAATATTGTCTATATTTGTGCTGGCGTTGCCACCGACAGATGCTAAAAGATACAAAGAATAATAAACAAAACGAAGTCATTGGTGCAATAAAGGTAGAATTGAAGCCCCATCAAGCGTAATGTTACATCGTCACAATGATGCAACCGGAGAAGATAAGAAAATTCGTAGTTATAAATTTTTTTTAATTAACTGTTTATTTCACAAATCATGTCAAATATCACGAAGATCAAAAATAAAAATCCTAATTTAAAATAAATCTATAAATAAAGAAAATCTAAAAAAGTTTATTTGAAAAAAAAGAAAGTTCATTATTTTTAATATAATTTTTTTTAATATGCTTAGTTACTATATTTTTTATCTATAATATAAATTATTATAAAAATTTACGCATGGAAAAGAAAATCCAAAAAGTATCAACAATCATAATAAAACATTAAATATTACAACAAACTTATTTTAAAATTTAATATTAATTATTAACTATGTCCGTAATACATGGCAATTTTATTAACACAGCCGACACCTGGGGACAAGGGAACAACAGGCGGATAAAAAATTAAAAACTCAAAAAAGTTTTATTTTTTCTTAAAGTTCCATTTTTAATTTCAATTATAAAAGTTTAATATGTAAATAGTCCTACAAAAATAAAAATGAATCAAATACACAAAAAGTAGTCATTTTTAAAATAAACATTTGGTGATTTAAATCTTAGTTTCAATAGCTTTTGTATTATCTATATATGATAAACATAGTAGGGGGTTGATAATATAATATTCTTGCTCATGATGATTAGTCTTATTTCTTAAAAACATTTCTCTTTACCAGATTTTTGTAAATCATAATGCCTTTTCTTTACATATCTTTCTTTTTTAAGTCTCACTAAAAAAAACACCCGTACAAAACTTATCAATTTTGATAGAACCAACAAATTTTCTTTGCTGCACTTATTACAACTTTTTAAATTTTTATTCTTGGCAACTCTTATCTTCTTATCAATTGCACTATTCACTATACAAACTCTTTAACTTCTTAAAATAATTTCCTTGCGAATAATTCTCGTTCATAATGTTTCTGTTTTATTATTTAATGCTTCAATGGTATTACATTTTATCCTGTGTAAAAACTTCAGTCATAATTCTCAATTGTTGTGTAAATCCTTTCTTCAGATGACTCCTTGTTATTTTGTAATATAAATCCCTTCATTGTTCTAGTAATTTTTTCGATCCCACTATTACTTCTAGGTAGTTCTATGCTTACCTTCCTGCGCTCTATATTGTAATTCTTACAAAGCTCACTTATTTGTTAGCTACTAAATTCCTTTTCATTATATGTCAAATTTTCTTTGGTTAATCACTGTTCAAGAAAAAATTTCTTAAAATGTGACCACTTCAAAAGCTTGTTTACTTTTAATATCTTTTTTTAAAATCTTCTACTAAGTAACCCATCGCAACCACTATAAAAATCCATTATCTCTGAATTTGATTAAATACATTTCAATCTTTTTTAAATATCTTGTTGTAATTATAAAATCTTTATCCTCGCTTGTCTCTCTACTAATTTCAGACAAGTCTTGGATTTCTTTAAAACTCTTTCTATGTGACTTCTCGTCCTAATCATTAATATTGCTTTCTCAGCTATACATAAATCGTGGATTCACTTCTGTAATCTAATTTCACACGATAATCTATTATCATTTTTTTTTTATTCTTCTCTTCTCTTTCATGGTCGAAAACCCAAATTTTTTTTTCGTCTACAATCTTGTTTGAGTGGGTTAAAACGAGTTTCTTGACAAAAAAATTTTTTTATATTTATTTTATTGAAGATGAATAATCTGTGAGGTTTTGATGGATTAAGGACAGAATGTTTATAATACCAATCAACCCGTTTATACTAAAGCTGTGTTGCTTCACTAAATTGATTTTCAATTCAATTGGACACACGTTGATGCCAACAAATGGGTCGATAATTTATTTTAAATTATTTATTTTGTCAATTGTCTGTCGTATTTGGTATTTTTTTTTAATTTTATCTTAAAATTGATAGAAAATGAATTACAATTACCAGAGATGAGACTCTCTAGTATAATGCTGATTAAATTAAGCTTTTTATCCTCCATTTGGTGTATTCTAAAACATTTGATATAAATGCATTGTAAGAAATTGGAGGAACAAATTGTCGAACATAAGACCAACAACAAAAATAAACAGCAAATAAAAAACTTTAAACATTTTATAAAATAATTAACCTTTTTGAAATGGGCTGGTTAAGAGTTTATCTTCTTACAAAAATTTCGCTATTTATGCTTTATACGAGACCACTGTTTTATGCTGATAGATAATTCTGTGTAGCAATTGCAAAGAAAAGATAATGGTAAAACTAAGGATTAAACCATTACATATGTGCCGTAACAATTGGGCAAGGTGTCGGACTTGAAAAACTTTTCTAAAATACGATAAATGACAAAATTTCTTTTATTCAAATTAAGATTTTTATGATGAGGAGCTTTCTTGTTATCTCCATTCAAATAGTCTTTGTTGTTACATTAATGATAATTTTTCATTTTTTTTGTAATTTGCTATGATTTGGGGGAACGAGATTTTTAAAAATATTTACCTTTATCTCCTTATATGATAAATTTTTTCCGAACTTTTAAAAAAGACCGAAAGAGAGGAAATCTCCTTTGAATCAGCTGTTGAGATCAGTTTAATCAACATATCTTCTAAAGTATCCAGTTTTAGGGGGTATAATGCGTATGTTAAAGGGCAAGTTGCGCCATAGTATTGACAGTTAATTTCGTTGTAATCAGCGTTTATGCAGAAAAACGGAATTTTTGTTGCAGATACACATTTCAATGTGCAAAAGCCAAAATATTCACCGTGTTGCGAATTATACACCTCACTGTTTGGGGTTAAAGATAACAATCATCGTCAATAAATGCAAAACCGAAGAAAAATGTTTGTATCGAATTTTTAATGTACTTCATACAAAAATTGATATGCAAATTCTTCTTTGTGGTTTCAAAACTTGGAAGATAAGAACGACACTATTGAGGTCGATGAAACGCACATTTGTTCTCGGCGCGATAGTCGTGGGCAAATGCTGGCAGGCGAGACTACTGGCTGTATCAGTCGTACAAAAGAACAAATTGCAATTAAAATTGTAAGACGACGAACAAAACCCAACTGCGAACGGGTTGTTTTAATAATATATCAATATTGGAACAAAAATCATGACAGACAGTTGGCGTGGTTATATTGAGTTGAGTTTGCTTGAATACAATCACTCGGTAGTAAATCATCTTTTGCATTTTGTTGATCCAAATAATGCAGAAATTTATATACAAAACATAGATCGATTATGGAAAGCGCATAAAGCAAAATATGTCAACACTAACTATTTTGAAACGTTGACTATTTTTTTAAAAGATTTGTTTTTGATAAAAATATAGAATTAAAAGGTGCTAGCAGAAAATTTGAAACATGTTGTTTAATAAATGATTTATAGTTTTTTTTACAAATTGAAATAAATTTTTATTTTTTTATTTTTGTCCCTCCCCCCAATCAGGGGGCACAACCTTATATTTTGTATATTTTTATCTAATAATATAAAATTATAATTTTGTATACCTTTTTATTTTTTAATCTGATAAACTTTTAAAGAAAATGGTGCATAATAGAATAGTATTAGATACTCTTTAATCTTTATAAAGCATATATTGTTTTTTTAACATAAAATTCACATTTACATGATTTAAAGAAAATAAATCAAACAAAATTTGGTTGTACATACCAGTTTGTTTTTATATGTTTGCGTGTAAACACGCAACAACCAACTCAAGCATTAATTAACAATGGTTTTGATAAAATATACTATACATTTAAGATATAAATATCTTTAAAAATTTGTTGTTGTTAAAATATGAAACTAAAATAAAATTAAAATCTTATTGCAGGACTTGTAATAACAACTACTCATTAATCTTTTTGATGTAAAATAATGCTATTATTTTTGTTAAAATTGTTTATTATCATGATCAAAAAGATATAAAGCTTTACTATATATTTTTGATATTTTAAAAGTTGAAGTTGAATACAAGGAAGATGTAAAAATATTTAGATACAGTGAGTACTTTTATCCATCTCTTTTCCAAAAAGAGGATGGATAAAATCGCTAAGGATGAATAAGTTCTAAAAATTAAAACAACTTTAAACTACTAAAAACAAACAAAAACTCATTTAATTTTTTTTGTTCATTCAAAAATACTCATAAAGGCTGTTGTTATTGCATTTCTTAGAATATTCTTCTATTATATCGCCTTCAAGGTTTAAAAATTTTTTAATATACATTAACCTATTAGATAACAAAATATTTCTAGCACAACTCATTGATTTGGATAAATCTGATTAACTTCGAGAATAGATATTTTTATCAAAAGAAATTACATCTTCTATTACTTTATAACATTCATATACATTTCGTTTTTCTTCATGGAGCTTCTTCAAATGACTGATTTTAGAGTTTAATGTTTGTTATTAAATTCGCCTATACTTTTTGATTTATATAGCAATTCATTATAGTTTCTTCGCTTATTTGACTGTTTAATTGCTTGCACCAATATAATATTTTAGGCATTTCAATCACTTTACCCGCTTTATTATAATTTAAAAATTGTTCTATTGAAAAAGATATTAGATATTGGTTAAAAAATTAATATATTTGACTTAAGCAAGTTAACAATTCCTATATTCAATGGCTGGGCAAAAAGGTACACTTTAAAGGCAAAAACACCGATTCAGTGTGTGATTTGTTTCCAATTTATTGTCAAAAGAAGTTGTCTAAAACTATCGAAATCTTTACATTGTCAGAACCAAAACCTCATTTAATATTCCAAGATATTCACTTAATATTGAACTCGCCATCCAAGAGTTGTTGTTATTCGATAAATTACATATATTTGTTTATAATTAAAATTTTAATTCTAAAAGAAAAGGATTAAGCAAAAAAAAATAAACAAAAAATTACAAAAGATTGGCTGAGAATTTATTAAAAAAACTAAAATGTATATAATATAATCTGAAAGTTTGTGGTGTGCTGTCGAGGTTTAAAACGCTTTTTAAGTAAGATCATTTATTTGAGTTGCGTCTGTCTCGATTCGTATTATTTTACATAATTTCTTCCTTCGTGTTTTAACTAAAAATGTATTTATAATTTTTAGTAGATATAAATAAACAACCAATTGCTAAACGTAGATGCTGAAACTAAATGTATAAGATTTATATAGAAACGAAACTATTTTTTTTTAAAAAAAAGATTATGTAAACAGATTGAGTGTAAACAAATAAACTTAAAATGTAATCATGTGCTAGCTGCATCATGAATGTGCTAAAATTAATTAGGCGAACTGACGTTTCTCCAAAAAAAATTAAAAAATGTCGCGCAACCATGTTTTCTCTTTTTTTTTGTACTAAAACTTATATCTTTGTTGTCGATTGAATTTTTGTGTTATATATATTTTTTTATCTATATTGGTATTACCATTAATAGGGTTGTAATGTATACAATCATATAGATATAGAAAGTTGTTTTTCTGTATTATTACGAAATTTAAAAGTAATACTACGTTTTTTAATTAAATACCACGGTCCTTAATGTATTTCTACAAAAAAATTAATTAATACAAATACATATATATTCATAGTATTATGACCTGTCAGCTTTTTTAAGCGCAAATACACAATACCTCTAAAAATTTGAACAAAGGCTTAGTTCTAACATTAATACAAGCCATCATGGGGCTTAAACACGCAACAATGTTTATGTTTTTTTGAATAAAAGTTTGACCATATTTTTGTGGTTTACTACCACATAAATATCTTATCTTAATAAATTTAATTGTTTATAAAAAAACAAATTTTTTTTAAATGTTTTTTATTTATAAAAAAGATTTAAAAGAAGAGTAGACAAAATAAAAGAAATAGAAATAAAAACTACAAGCTGTCAAAAAGAACAGAGAGAATCTTTAAATTAATAAAAAAAGTTTCTTTAAAAATCTTTTAGAGCAACATTTTCGTTTTGATTACCTCACAAGAAGTTACCACAGGTTAAAAACTAACCTGCTTTTGATCTTATAAAAATTCATACACATGAAAATTTTTAAATTTAAAAATATTTTAAAAACCCTTATGAGATCTACTATCAAATCACAAGAAGAATACGATAATATCGTAAATATTTTTATAGGCAAGGATACGACAGTAGATGGCAGCAAACATACTAAGTGTCGTTTGAAAAATAAGTCCGAGCTGTTTATCTTGAAGATACAGAAAATGGTCATAAACGGGTGTTTGTGAAAGGAACAGTGCTTTCTATAAAAATAGAAGTACAAAAATTACACAACCAGATTTATTATGATTAGAATCGTCCTTACGAGTTATGCAAACAGCTCTATTTTTTCGATTCCTAGATGTGTTATTGGGGAGGCTTTTAATGAGTGTAATGCCTGTTTACAAGCTCAACCTTCTAAGGCAAAGGAAATGTTTAAGCATATTCTTGCCAAGACGCTCTTTGAGAGATTAGTCATTGATCTTGTTGATACGAGGATTTTCGCAGGACAAAATGATGGTCTTGGTTTAATTTTTACAGGTATAGATGTAAAATCTAAATATATAATTTCTTATGTCCTTAAAGGTAAGAATGTGAACGATGTTTTTTTAGACCTTAAAATGGCTTTTTATAAACTTTGTGATCCTTAAATAATTCAATATGATAACGAAAAAAAATTTAGAACTTCTTGTTTGATTGATTTTTGTAAGAAGATAAGCATTGTTTTAATTTATGGAAGACCGAGACACCCACAAAGCCAAGGTCAAATCGAACGATTTAACAAAACAATTACACGTTATTTGCAAAAGTATCTGTGTGATGGTGTGTTTGCTGCCGGTAAAAATTGGACTGCACTCTTGGAAAAAGTGACTTATGAATACAATGTAGCGATAAATTCTGCAACTAATAAGTCATCATTAAATCTATTTTTTTGTAAAAGTGGGTTTAATACTGTAACTTGTCCTAAAAAAAATAAGTAGCATTGTTGATTTGGATGAGAACCATATTTATATTAAACGAATCATAGGAAAAGACTAAAGTCAGATTTCAGTTAATCAAAAATATTTAGCACTGCATGGATAGAAAATACGTGCATAATTCTATTAATGACATATATATAGTTGACATTATTTTGATAAGAAAAGATTTTGATACGAATAGTAAAACAAAGAAGTTAAAATTAGACACATTTTATTCTTCAATCAAAAAAGTAATCGAAATCCTATCAAATAATCGTATTAAAGTTGAAAATAATGGTATTGAAGAAATAGTATCAAATAACTTAGTCAAAAAAATAAATTATATTGATTAATTTTGTTTTTTCTTCTTGTTTACGTTCTTAATCCTTGTATTACTTATAAAAGTAATCTAGTATAGATTTGATATGCCAATCACTCTGTACATAGCGCATATTTATAACACTTGTATCTTTTTAATTTTTAAAAAAAATAATATTTTTTTAGTCAATTTTTTAATTACAAATTTTAAGTTTTGGGGTAATTTTTAAAATTTAAAGATGGATCTCAATTCTTTTTCCATTTAAACTTTAAAAATAAAAAATTTAAGATATTATTTTTTTTAAAATTCTCTTTTCCAATGAAATAATTTTCTCTTAAATTAATTTTAACTTTTAATTAACTACAATTTAAATTAATCATATTTTAATGCCAAAATTATAATTATTAAAAAAAATAAACATAAGCCTTACACCAAATAATTTTAAAAAAAAATATATATACGCTTTCACATGAATAATTTTATAGATAATTTAATGCAAAGTTGGGCAAAAAATATAATTGTAAACACGGTCGCTCTCTGGATACGTATCAATAATAAACAACCAAATTATTAAATTTTTATTATCATTAAAACTTGTGAATACTCTAGCTTTTTAGTTTACCCAATTAATTAAGGTATGAGTTTTTCTTCTAATGAATTATATCCAGATAAAACATTAACCCTTGTTTTATCTTATCTTGTTTGATACCATTATAATCTTTTTTCTTGTCGACAACAAAAGATTTTCTAGTTGTAGAAATTATATAAAGGCCGGTTTCATCTACATTGAATACATTTACTATTCATACGTCTTTATTTACTTTGAGATCTCTAATTTAAAAAAATTCAAGTAAATAATCATCAGCGCCAATGCCTCTCCCGATAGTATTATATAATACAAATTATTTCTTTTCATAATTTTTTTTACAAAATATACTGTTATTTGTAGTTTTGTTAAGCCGTTTTAAGAATATATTTAGCCAAAAGGGGTCTAATGATAGAATAATTGATAGAAAAACATCCGTTCTCGGCGTGATTATCTTATCAATCAAACAATCATCAATCGTGACGCAATTTTTTTCCTTCGACAAAAGTTTGTACCGCGTCAATAGAGAAAAGATATTGACATCTAGTGCCAGATATCAATCAATATTTTGTATTATAGATTTGGCTACAGACCTAGTTATGTTAAACTTTAGGATTATTTTCTTTTCGTAATTGCGCTCTTTAACTATCTTTGAAATATCATGTTTTGTGTATTTTTTGTTTTGATTCTTAAATTTTGTCTTCGCATTTTTTTTTCATAAAGGGGGTGGAATAAATTGAAAAAAATGCAGGATAAAATTTTTTAAAGCTTACAAGTATAAGACTTAAACTGAAATTTTAAAAAATTTATAAAGGGGATTATAAACTCGTTAGGAATAAATAATTTTTTAATTAAAAAACAGTTTAGAAACATATATTAAGGTAATACTTTGATCATTAAATTCTAAATAATAAAAAAAATTGATAATATCTTTTATAGTGCCTTTAATTTAGACAGGAGATGTCTTTAACCCCATCAGGAGAATAATATCATTGACATGTAGGGGAAAAAACAAATTGCCCCCACTGTTATGTATTTATTTTAATAATGTCAATAACTGAATTGTCCACCTACTTTTTATTTACTAATCAAAAAATAACTTTACATATTTAAAGTCTCCGTATATCTAAAATGTTCCGTATTTAAATTTTTTTGTTAATTAAATATAAATTTAGATAAATATAGTTTTTCGATTTCTGAAAAGTTTATAAAAATGAGATAGACACTGCTTTTTTATTAACCATAACAATTTATCTACATATATCAAAAATACCTGTTTATTTATTGCTGTGTTACCATATTTAGTTATTTTACATACAATCTAATACTATAACTAATAATTCTTATCCTTCAAGAAAGTTTATTTGTGAACAGATTTTTTATTTTTATAAAAAATCCACTTTGCGTTTTTTAGTTTGTTTTTATATAAAATTTGTTGTTTAACCATATTTAGTTATTTTAAATAAATTTTATTAAACATTTGGTATAACCTCGGGTGAAGCAGACGTAACAAAACTGTTGTTTTAATAATGAGTAAATAAAACGTATTTTCCAAAATAATTTATTTAGACATCTTGTAAGTTCTCTTTTTAAGATTCTAAAACTTTTTGTTAAACAGTATACCCTTCTTTTTGGATTTTTATTTGCCCAAAAATAAAAATTTTTTTTATTAAATAAAATAAAGTGAGGAACCACAACATTATAAGTTATTATTCTGCTATTCTAAAAGAATTGGTTGGTCCTTTGATTTTTATTCTGTTAAAATTACTTACTGATTCTATTAATCGTATCTACATGTATTTACTTTTTTACCATATTTAATTATTAATATAAAGTAAATTTATATTTATAGGTTACTATTCTAATAAAGATTAATAGTTAATGATCTACTACTTTTTAATTTAATTAAAACAATATTGTATAGTTTAAATGCGGTAGTTTATTTAGTTACAACTGTATTAGCATGCTTGTTTGTGTGACATAAAATTGATTAAATATTAAATGAGGTTATTCTGCTATCCTCATCATATTGAACAAGTTCTTATTTTTAGATTGGGTTGTATAAGCTTTTTTTAGTTCAACATTAAATACAATAGCTTTAGTACGTTATTATTAGGCTGTTCTCAAAAAATTAAGTTGTTCAACAAATTTTTTATCATATTGAACAAGTCTATATTTTAAAGTTAGGTTGTATCAATTTTTTTTAGTTTATATAAAATACAATATCTTTAGTACGTTATAATTAGGCTGTTTTCAAAAAATTTAATTGTTTAATGATTTTTTATTAACTTAAAAGTAAAATGTTATTGAAATAAATAAATAAATATTAGATTAAAATTTGTTTGTTTAAACATTTTTATTTATTCATTTACATACAAAACATTTGCTCTTTAACTTTTAACATTTTTTTTACATTAAATAAGGGATAAAAAATTATTTTAAAAAGTTACACCGACTAAACCATCGTTATTTTTTGGCTATACATTTAATAAGTTTTAATAGATTGCTAAAAAGGATTTAAGATGCAAAATAAGAATTTCTATCTTAGTAAATTATCAGTAAATATAACTTTATATCTGTGTTAAGTAAAAGTTCCTTATATTATATATTTGCATAAATAAATTTATCTCATAATATATCTATTACACTTTCTAGTTTTTCTTTTTTTTAATAATTTAAAAATAAATAAAAATATTTACATAGAGCAAATAATAAAATTCATGATTGTCTGCAGTATTCAATCTATTTTACAAAAAAGAAAAATGCAATTAATTAAAATGTTTAATAAAGGCTTGATTTTTGATAACAATTTAAATTATTATTTTTATTACGTTTCTTGTAGGTCTTTAAATTTATATATACTTTTTTAATTTTACTTCAATTCAAAAAAATCAAAGAATATTGAAGGAGCTTATTAAAATTGTAAAATTTATTATTTTTTTATATAAAATTATCTTATTTTTTAATTCTTTAAAGGTTTTAAATTAAATTTTTAGTTATTTAAAAGTATAATTAAATATATTTGATTTTTATTCTTTAAATAAATTTTTTTGGTTGTACCCATCGATGCTAGTTATTATGATTAAAATTTTAAAACTTATCATGGCAAGTAATAATCATGATGATTATCTGATGACTAGAAATATAAGAGAACAAATTATTTCTTTAGTTTGCAAAAAAGTTAAAGATAAAGATTTTATTGCCCTTGAAAATGCTATTAAAGATTTATACGCTTATGTTACAAACGAAGATGTTGTTATTAACAATATAAACATTATGATTTGTCATGTTTATGAGAATTGCAAAACCAATCATAATTATACTTATACCGTCAATAACTCGGATATAGATGATCCAAATTTATTCAATATTTTCAATTTTTTTAAAAGTTTCAATGTTGAAAGAGTTTTTTTAAGCAGTGGTTCCAATTTTTTTAATATTTGTACAACTTTAAATAGTCCACTTATTTTAACTGACCTTTTGAATCGACTTTCTGAACGAAATGAAGGTCCAAAGTTTTTTTACGAAACACATTATTTTGATCATATATGTTTTCATAAAAACAAACGATGTATTGATCCATATTGCGATCTTATTGCAGCGGATAATTGGAATCCTAGAAAATTTGATTTTCGTATTACAAACGATAATAAAGCAGGATATATGTTTTTAATTGATTCAGAACAGCTTGATTGTTGTGATTTTATAAAAAAAAAGATAAAATTATTGTATAAGGACAACTGGGAACCAGTTTATAATTTTTTGATCAACTTTGACTATGCTAAATCTTTGTATTATAATAATTTTATTTTTAAAATAAAATGTTATTTCTCATTAGAAAATGAATTTTATTTTAAGGATGAAAATTTTTTTACGATTACTGAAAAAAATATAGTATTTCATGAAAAAATAATCAATAAGTTTGATGTAAACGAAGTTTTCGTTACGAATACCATAAAAAGTTTATTCTTTCAAGAAAAAATTATCTATAAGGTTGATGTAACGAAGCAGGTGATATTCATATAGATATTGCCATTTTAAAAGATTTTCAACAGTTAGTATTACGGTTATTATCAATATATTGTAATCATTTTGAAACCAAAATATTTACAGTATTTTCTCTTTTCACTAAACAACTTTTTACGTGTTTAGTAAAAAGAATACTTTACTCTGGGCTATCAGCTAAAAAAATTTTACTTTTAGAAGTGCTTTTTTCCATAGGCATTATTAAAAGATCAGATATTAATTGGTTTTTGGATTGTAATTCAAGTATAGATCAAGATTTTGTTTTTGAAATCTTAAATGAATTTTACATTACGAAAATAGTAAATTCTATAATGAACATAGGACTAAAAGACGGGACATCTTTTTATTACATTTATTTTTACATCATTATTTATTTTGAATTAGAAATATATATTGATGAATGTGAAAGTAACAAAGAAAAAAGTTTTGTGCTACTTGAAAATTATTATAAGTTATTAGAAGTAAAGGATATTTGTATAGAATTTGTAAGTCGTTTCGAAACCACCGTTGTTAATATTTGTAATATATATTATGGCTTAATGAAAAAACTGAATATATTCTATAAAGGCTTTAACGATTCGTTTAAGGAATATTATTGTTTGGTTAAAACGGCTTTGAATGATTTATTGGAAGATAAAGATTTTATAAAAAAGTTTTTAAGTAATTAAATTTTTGTAAGAATAAAAATATTTATCTTTGTATTTAATAATTGTCGCGAGCACAACTCGCACCCGAGCCACAGCCACACATGGTTCGATTCCCGACAGAATCTTTTTATATCGAAAATGAGATATTTTAAACGCTGCAATTTACTAGGCTTACAAAAAGTTAAGTTGTAAAATAAGATAAAAATACCTTTTATAGGTTTGTGCAGAGGTATTGCTGTATCCAAAGTTTAAAATATTTGTATTGCGATATTGCTACCATTAAATTTTGTATTTAGATGACATAAAATACTTTTTTCAAAAATAAAGTAAGGAAATTATATAAATTGTAGCAATTTTTAAGCACTAAAATAAACACCGTTTAATTGTTTTTTTTTATTACGTTGGCCATAGATACTATCTCAGTTCTATCTCCATGATCAATTAGTAGTCGATTCTCAGAGAATTTTTTTTATTATAGCTGCGGGATGAAAAAATGGGTCAAATTTTAAGCGTTTGTTTTCTTTGTTAGTATCAAAGTCTTTTTTTAGAAAAACATGTTCACCTACATTAAAGTTATACACAGAATTATGAACCGCTTTTTATCCATTCTTGCAAGATACCTAGCACATATACTTACTTCAACTTCACTTACAACTTATTTATAATTTTTTTTCTTTGAATGAATCTGTTTCTAAATCAGAATATATAAAACCACCATTTTTAGTACTAAGGACTGTATTAAACCCTTTGCGCATACAACAAGATCAATATACTTTATCCAACATGCTTCCTTTACGTTTTCATCTTTGGCATCCATTTGTTTAGCTATGGCTCTCGTTAATGTTTGATTAGAACGTTCAATTTGACCTTGTGGTTGCGGGTGTCTAACTCTGCCATGAATCAACTTTACATTAAATCGAGCACAAAGATCGTTAATCACAAAATTAGAAAATTCCTTTCCATTGTCACATTGTAAAACATTTGGTGGACCAAAAGTCAGAAAAAGTGATTCTAATGCATTACTAACTTCCAAAGCTACTTTAGATTTACTTGGATAAGCCTTTTCAAATTTTGAATAAAGGTCAGTCACATTAAGTATCCAACAAAAACTTAGGTTTGTTGTTTTATAACTCTTAGGTCGATTAAGTCTATCATAATGTATTCATAATGATAGGTGGCCGTAACACGCTTAAATGGCTCTTTCTGCTTTAAAGGCTGTAATGTTTTACAAGTATCACAGCTTGCAACAACATCTCTCACAATAGTTCTGGGTATGGTAAAGAAATAATCCTTGCATAATTCATACATCCTATTATGGCCGTAATGGTTAGTATCATGAGGTCTTTTAACCTCTAATGCCATAATATCGACCCGGGTCTTGTAGAACACTTTTTTGTGCAGTCCTTCTCTAACATTTAAGTAGAGCGTATCACTAAGTACAAGAAAGTGTTCCGCCTTCTTGCGAAGCCTAAATACTTGGTATCTACCCAAATCCGTCTCAAATGGCAGTTTTGAAAGGATGGCCATTATTGCATCACATTCCTCCTTATCATTTATAACTGATACTATTAAGGGCTAAAAATAAAGAATTTTAAAAATTTTTTTTTTGTTCTTAAATATATTGCAGAATTTAAAATATTTTGCAGCCTACCTTTATTCAACAAATTCCCACTTGTAAAATAATTTATTTAAAATTTTAACAAAATATATGTGGCAAGTGTCGCAGTTTGGTTCATCTTGTTACATGTAAAACATCTGCAGGTTCGATTCAGTACAAAAACATTTAAATATAGGTTTTTACTTAAAAGTTCAAATAAGAAAATATAAACTTCTAAATTGTAATAATAATATTATGTGCGGCTATGGCTTGCAACAATAGATAAATATTTAGATATTTTATGTATAGAGAACTTTATAAAAAAGTCGCTTAAGTTAACGAATTAGAATTTGGTAGGATTAAAAAATACTGTCGAAAACATAGATTAATGGTGTATAAGCTATGTGTGCGGTTGATGGATGGATTTACGAGAAATATGGTTGTTAAAAAGGTTGAGAGAAGAAATAGGAATTTTCTGCCGCTAATAATAATACGACTACACAAAGACAAAGTACTTTTTACTTAGATAGTTTTGTAAAACTTTTGTACTTAAGAAAATTATTTTTTTGTGCATTAAATGTGCGCTTATTTAATCAAATTTAAAAATAAAAGAACAATTGTTATATTAACACTTTTGAAGAAAATTTTTCTAGCTTAAAAACAAACATTTTTTTAAAATTAGAATTTTTTAAATATTTATTTACTTTCTATGATTTATGTTATATTCTATTAAATTATTGAATCCCAATTATTTCACGTACATTTTGGTGGCGATACTAAACCGAAAATTTTCAAATTATGGCTGTGGCCAAGAGGACAGAATATTATTAGAGGAATTTGATATTGTGTTTTATAGAATTGAGTTGGAGCAAGTGTGCAAAGGTGAGTGTAAGAAGAAGTTATTCAAGTTTACTTCGAAGTGTTTAAAATTTTTATTGTTAGGAATTTGAATGAAGAAGAAGAATTAGAGAAAAGTTATTACGAAAAAATGAATAAGCTAGAAGAAAAAGAGAAGAATGCTTTTTATGTTTATTGAAGTTAGAGAGGATTAATTATATCAGTCTAATAGGCTATGTAAGAAAAAAATAAGACTATAAAGAAAAATTATAGCTTAAATTGTTTATTTTGTGATAAGTTCAGACACAAGGCGGAAATGTGCTATTTGAGGAAAGCTAAAAAAGATTTTTGCAAATAAAAGCAAAAGTAAACCTGATAATGATTTCGAAGAAAGTGGTAACTCAGAGACCATTTAAGAAAGAGGTTATAGGTAATTTAATAAAAGGCTTAGAATTTATTTTAATCTAAAAAGAAAGAACAATAAGTTCAAAAAAAAATTTTAAAAGAAAAGATTAAATTTTAATTTATAGATTAAGAAATTTTTTAGAAATTTTAGCACTGGTAAAGAAGAAGTGAAATATTGAACATTTGAAAAATGTAAAATTAATACGGAAGAAGGAAATTGGCTATATAAAAAGAGACAAATTGATCCACAGACCTTAATAAAAGATGCAAAAAACATGTAAAGGATTTTATGGCTAAAAAAGTGAATAGAGAATTGAACTTGGGGTTTAAAAATCTTTTAAGGTCTACGATTAAACTAAATGGCAATATAAGGTTAGTAAGCAATTTTATAGCATTAAATTATTTTATTGAAAAAGATGATTTGAGTTAGCTAATTTTTGAGATGTTTTCAGAGGTATATGACTGTTTTTGATCTAAATGAAGGGTCCTTTAGTATTGAGATATAAGGGAGCGTTAAGCATAAGACGGCTTTGAATTCAATGAAAGTGTATTAATGGAATTTTATGGTAAAGAGATTATAAAAACAGCTTGTAGATATTTCAAAAGATTATGAATAGGATTTTTTGAGATTTGATGGGAAAAGGTGTTGAAATATAAATGAACGACATCGTAAAGTATAGTAAAAATGTTGAACAACATGATAAATTAATAAGTGAGGTGCTTAGAAGACCAAGTAGTAATAATATGAAACTAAACGTTAGTAAGATATAGTTTTGTCAACACGAAGTGAAGTTTTTAGGTGTCACATTGAATGGGAATGATATAATAATATCTGGAATAGAGAAAAAAAGGAAGCCTTAGAGTTTTTTATATCGACGTATGTGTCTAATATAATGAGATTTTTGGAATGATTGGATGGTTTAGGGATTTCATAAAAGGTTGTGCAGAACCAATTGTGAAATAAAAAGATAGCTTAAAAGATAAGAATAATAAATGGATACGGACTGACGAGATGTATGAAGAATTTAATAAACTGAAGGAAATACTAAGAAAATAAGGAAGGTTAAAGATCGCAGATTATGTTAAGGAATTATTATTATAGACAGATACAAGTAGCATAGGTATAGGCACAGTTCTGTTACAAAAGAATAATAGCGGTGATTGGATACGTGTCCAATGACCATCGGGAAAGATCACAAGAAGGAAGTTAGATATAGTATTTCAGAGAAAGAGACATATGTTTGATTTTAAGATATTACGAAATTTGAAATTGTGTTTAGAAGTACGAAATTTAAAATTTAAACGGATCGTAAAGTTTTGGCTAAAGCTAGAAAGAAGCTTGATTTTAAAACGCCCGAATGAATACATGAGTTTAAAAAATACAAAATTTTGAGATTGAGTATCGAGCGCTCGATAAAATGGTTGTTCCCGATTTTTCGGGTAGAATTTACACTAAAGAAGATGAAATTAACAATAAGGCAATAAATGAAGATGTAATAAACAATTTGAGAAAAAAAGAAATAAATCTGTTAAGATAATAATTGGTCAAGAATTTTGGCTATTTGATGAGGAAAAAGAACGAATATTGTCAAAAGAGAGTAAAAGAAATGATTATTGTAGACTGTAATGTTAATCTAAAAAAATAGAGGCAAAACAAGTGTATACTATGAAATAAAGAAATAATTCTATTACATTGTTGTCAAAAAGCAAATTGAAAAAGTTTTGTTAAAATGTGAAATGTATCAAAAGTATAATAGAAAAACAAGTGAAGATATTGATTTTGTAAGTACAACAAAGTATTTAAAGAAAATAAAATGGGATATGATTTATTTTTAGAATAAAAGGTTTTATTATAGTAACGATTAAATAATTTACTAAGAGATCGTAAAAATTAATTTAGAAAGTAAATATGCAATAAATAAATATCATAAAGAAATTTTTGTGCTTAAGGAAAAAAGCTAGAAGAAATAGTAACAGATAACGAAAGAAAATTTTGCGATGAGCAAATAACGAAACTATTTAAGCGTTAAATATTAAATACAGAAAGATCGGTGTAATATTACACAGAAGCGATGGAAGAGTAAAGTGTAAAATTAGAATGTTGCATGGTAAATTCTAAAAAAACTTGAGTTTAGAGAAGAAGTATATGAGGCTATTGGAACTTATAATTTAAGTTTCCATGTAGGACCAGGCCTTAAACCTATAGTGACAAATAAGGATAAAATCATAAAGGTAATATCTGAGAATAGTCGCAAGGTAAGTATAGCAACCAGTTTATTTAGAAGCTGGTGCAGGAATTATTGTGCTAAAAATTAATTAATTTGATTTGCAAAAAGAGCAAATTTAAAGGAAAATTTTAAATATACTAAGGGTAGATTTCTAGAAATGGGTAGGATGATTATGTTGTGTCCAGACGACTTTTATTTTGTATGTTTAGAAAACTGAAGATTAATTAAAAAAAGACATTATAATTTGAAAGGTATTGAAGATTTGTAATATATTGATGATGAAGACTGGTTATTTGGAAAATTAATGCTATATTCTATTATATTATTGATCCCTAATCATGCCAAGTACTTATATGTTTTCTAAAGATAACTTTTCTAAAATTATGAAAAAATTCCTCATATTAACCTTAAACTTTTATAATAAGTACATACTACTTTTTTTAATAATTATTTTATAGATAACCCATCAATTCAGCTGAGAATTTTGAAAAAAAATTTTTTTTTACGCTTGGAAATTGATAATTAAGGATAAAAAAAATATTTTTAAGTATATTAAAAATTGTGCAATAAGAGGAAATCTAACTAACAAAAAACAATAAACTTTTGCGAAATTAACATATATAAAAGAGCCAGTTTACTAATTAAAATCATCTATTTAAACTTTCAATGTGATTTCAAATTGTTGAGATCGACAATTTCTAACTTTTGCAACATTTCCTTTGCATTTTTTTTTACAAATAAACACACCTTACCTATTTTTTATTCCAAACATCTACATTATTTTGCAATTCCATACTTTCAAATAATTGTGACAATGTTTTTTTACCCGAAATAGATATAAATCGTGAATTTTCAAGTAAGATGCTATAAAACTCAGATAACGTTATATTATTATGGCCTAAACATAAACTCAAAAATTTTTGTAGATCGTTAAAAAATTCAATATTAATAGTATCACTCTTTTCATAATTACTAAAATACTCCTCAGCTTCTTTATAAATAACAGCGTGCAACAAATTATTAACTTCTTCACTCTCCGCCGTCATCATAAAGTAAATTTTAGAAAGTTTCTCTTTAGTAAAAAAATTTTGCAAAAAAATAATTATTCGGAATCGTTTATCATCATTTAGATTT